GGGGGGTCCAAGTCAAACTAGGTCAGCCTGGAATCAGAGGCTCTGCTCTTAACTAACATGGTGTATTGCCTCCTAAACTTAACATTTACAAGCCTTTCCTTTTCTTCTATTCCTCAGCTTGGTAAATGGCACTATCACTCACCCATGACGCCCCGGATATCATTCTAGATTCAAACAAAAACTTGGATGTCATTCTGGAGTCTTCTCTCTGCTTCATCCCCTCTCATTTAATCAGTCATCAGATCTTATATATACTGGTACCTAAATTATTCTCCATTATCCCATTTTTCATGTAGGATGCCACTTTCTTAACTCAGGAGCTCAGCATTTCTCTCTTCTGCAACAGTTCTACTTTCAACCTTCAACTTTGTGTTGCAAACAGGACACAATTATCTGATGTGACATTCAGTCAAGAAAGGATATAAAAGCATTTTATCTATAGTTCTGTAGGACTGTTAGGAATGGCATGCAATCATGATGTCAGTAAAAAGAGAAAGATACCATCTTCAGGAGTACTATTCCTGATATATATAGATTCTACCTTATATAAAAAAGATCCAAGCCAACAAAGGCATCCACTAACCTAACATTCTGCTAACACCTATATTTTTTCCTGAGGTCTAAATTACTACTCATGCTAATGACATCTGGTGGGATCATTATGTAAAGCTACATGACATCAAACGATTTACTTATGTACTTATGACATTTGCATTTATTTTTGTTTTTTTTTATTTTATTTTTTTTCAACGTTTATTTATTTTTGGGACAGAGAGAGACAGAGCATGAACAGGGGAGGGGCAGAGAGAGGGGGACACAGAATCGGAAACAGGCTCCAGGCTCTGAGCCATCAGCCCAGAGCCTACGCAGGGCTCGAACTCACGGACCGCGAGATCATGACCTGGCTGAAGTTGGATGCTTAACCGACTGCGCCACCCAGGCGCCCCCAATGACATTTGCATTTGAATGTATTATCTAATTATTATTACTGCTTATAAAAGTGCAAATTAAAACCACAATGAGAAATCTCTACACTCTATCAGAATGGTTAAAGTATACATATAAATATAAATAAAACATAAAAATATAAATTAAAATGGCTAAAATAAAAATACTGATAAGACCAAATGCTGGTGAATACGTGGAGAAACTGAATCATACTGGATTGCTGGTGGGAATATAAAATGTTCCCCAGAAAACACTGTGGTAGTTTTCCTTAAAAAAACTATGCAGCTACAATAATGACCCAACAATTGCACTCTCAGGCATTAGTCTAAAGAAATGAAAACTTTTGTTCACACAAAAACCTGTATACCAATGTCTAGAGCAGCTTTATCCATCTTATGGATGGAATTAGGTTTCATCTTATAATTTAAGTACATAAATTAAAGCCTTAACTCCCAGTGTCACAGTGTTTGGAGACAGAGCCTTTAGGAAAGTAACAAAGTTAAATAAGGTAATCTGAGTGAAGTCCTAATCCAATAAAGCTGGTGTCCTTTAAGAGGAAGAGACACAATACAGAGAAGAGCCCATGTAAAGCCATGGGAGCACAGTGAGAAAGTGCCTGTCTGCAAGCCAGGAAGAGAGTCTTCACTGGAAACTAAATCTATCAGCACCTTTTTCTGGGATTTCTAACCTCCAAAACTGTGAAAAAATAAATGTTCATTGTTTAAGCTACCCCGGCTGTGGTTATGGCAGCCTAAGGAGAATTACACACTTTGTAATAGCCAAAAACTCTAAACAACACTGATATTCTTCAATGGAAGAAAAGCTAAACTCTCATGTGTGGTAGGCAGAATAATGATCCCCACTGATGTCCAGATCCTAATCCATGGAACCCATAAATATATTACATTACACAGCAAACAAACATTAAGGTTGTAGATGAAATTAACCCATTTAGGAAAACTCTTACTCTTATAACCTAAATTAAAATGAACAAAGTATTTATTTGGAAATAAATATGAAAGAAAAATAAGAAGCCTGATTCATTCATTATACAATGAATGTTAATTTTTTCACATGAAAAATGTTAATATTTAATACACAAAACAAAATAAACTTCAATGATGATAATGCTTATAATGACTGGTAAGGTTTAAAAAGAATTATGTACAAAATTATGTCCTGCTGTATTTCAGAATCACCTACAGTGCTCCAAAAATCATCTTCAAAATACAGGTACCTGGACCCTTCTCAAGAGACTTTAATTTTATAGAAGCCAAGTCACTTGGATTTTGAAAAAGATCTACAGATAATTCTGATGCAGAGGATGAAACCCAGCAATATAAAATTACAATTTTAGTCTAATATATAAACTTACTCTAGAAAACAACTTAAAACTGTAACAAAAAGGAATCAGTTTAAAAGTAATAAAGGTATAAAATGGAATACTGTATGGTGATTATAAATGATGCTGCAGATATGTTTGCTGACATGGAAAGATGTATGTAGATAAATATACAAATAGACACAAACAGTATGTGTGATATAATGCCATTTTATAAAACAAAATAAAATGCACACATATGTGTAGAAAGTAGTTAATTCTGGTTGGCTGTGGTTATTTTTTATGCTGTTCTTTTTGCTTGCCTCCATTATTTGGTATTTCTGAACGACTACATATAAATTACACACTCATACACATATATAAATATATATAAAGGAACTTCATTTTGGTGACAGAAAAGGTTAGCTTTAAATAATATGTATACTTTAAATAATTGGTATACCTTAACTAAATTAAGAATTCTTTTTTCAATTTAGCACATGCGTATGTATATATTTGATTTCTCAGTGAGTTTAATACCCAGATGACAAGATCCCACAGTACACAGAAAATAAGCAACCTAGGATGCAGACAAGTGCCAAAAGTGCTGGATTATATACTTTAAGCCTCAATAACCAACATATTTGACTGAAACTGTTTGATAACCATTAATTGATATATATTTGATTGAAACTGTGATCTTAACTCTAAGGTTGAAGAGATACTGATCAGAGGTTCTCACCCATTATCAACGCTGCCTACATGAAATACTCTACATGATCACACCCTCACTCTCTACATGAATACTCTTCAGGTATCTTACATCTTTGCCATTTTTCTTCAAATAAAGTGCATATTTTAGGTATGCATGGATGTATTTGGTGCAGGTGAGTATTGAGGAGCTGATAAAAAAAAAAAAAAACTATGGGGAGAACTGTCTCCTCTTATAAAAAGGGATAAGATGATATGCCCTCCTACACTCATGTTTGCTTTGATTGTAAACTTAGGAAGTTTGCTTCGGGGCACCTGAGTGGCTCAGTCGGTTGAGCTTCCAATTATGGCTCAGGTCATGATCTCACGGTTTGTGGGTTCGAGCTCCGCCTCAGACTCTGGGCTGATAGCTTGGAGCCTGGAGCCTGCTTCAGATTCCGTCTCCCTCTCCCTGCCCCTTCCCCGCTCATGCATTCTCAAAAGTAAATAAACATTTAAAAAAAAGTAAAGAAAAAGAAGTTAGCTTCAATATACTAATTCTTTTCCTATAGCCTCCTGTGCACTCTAAAACTTCATGAATTTGGACTTTCCCTATGATGCTGATCACCAAAAACTTCAATTTTACCTTCAATTTAATTTTCCCTTCAGTGTAAACTTCAATTACACTCCACAGATTTGCTAAGTAAATTATATGCAAAACTAAATTCTGACAAATATGTACCCTAATTAAGATGTTTTCAAATACATTTTAAAAGACTATCTGAACAATTTTCACTTCGATTTACATACAATTCAATAAATCTGATCCCAAGAACACCTGATTACAAAGTTAGTCATCAATCTGCATTACAATTTATCTAACAATGCCCTATTACTAGAAATCATTCAAATAACTTTAAATACTAAGTCAGACTAGCACTCTCAATATATTGATGTTCTCTAAAACCACTAGGACACAACACTCGATATGATTTATATTTCTGTATGTTCCTTCTAAGGGCCATACAAGTTTACTACAGCACTGTTTTAACTACAATGAGTATACTGAGTTTCCAATATATCCTGGATTGGCACTACTTGATAAGTTTACTTAAGGGAATGATTATTTCTGTACATAGCTTTATAATGAAAATTTCTCAAACCCTCACAATTTAAGCAGAAGTAAAAATTATAAATAATTCCTTCCTAAAACTAAGTTATTAAAACTCTAAAAATTCAGGAAAATAATAAATCACAAGTTGAACAATTTAAGCAAATCTAAAAGTAAATTAAGAAATATTTATTTTGAGATAAAGCAAATATGGCAAAATTTTGATAAATGGTAAATGAAGATAAAAGATAATGGATAATACAATTTATGCGACTTTTCCATATGTTTGAAATTACTCAAAATTTAAAAGCTGAGAAAAAAAATAGTTTAGAATTTGATCCCTTCCCCAAATAGCATTCTATTATTTTATAGACTGACCATTTGATATATCAATACATGAATCCTTTAAAACAGTCTAAGTCCGCCTACATAGGTTAAACCAAATATTAGCTGAAATAGCCAAAATAAACATGAAATTACAGAAATATACACACAAAAATGTTTAATGTGCGAAGGAATGACTTTTTAAAGTTTAAACTCCCCTATTGTAAATTTTTAGTAACTAACTGCATATAGCTCTCTACTATATTAGCCAACTACTAACTTTTAAAAATAATTTTTTAGGGGCGCCTGGGTGGCGCAGTGGGTTAAGCGTCCGACTTCAGCCAGGTCACCATCTCGCGATCCGTGAGTTCGAGCCCCGCATCAGGCTCTGGGCTGATGGCTCAGAGCCTGGAGCCTGTTTCCGATTCTGTATCTCCCTCTCTCTCTGCCCCTCCCCCGTTCATGCTCTGTCTCTCTCTGTCCCAAAAATAAATAAACGTTGAAAAAAAAATTAAAAAAAAAAAATAAATAATTTTTTAAATAAAAAGCTATTCAGAAAACATACCAAGCACCAAAAATAACAACTTCATAAAATGATCATCTCACCTCATCTAAGTCTTGGATATAAACTGGTTTTTCCTCAAAGCCAACTGGCATTGGTTCACTATAGGGAATCTTTACTTCTTCATACATCTTGTTATTCTCTCTTTGAATTCCTTCTGGTAAAATCATCTATAAACATCAAAAATTAAAATTAAATATAATACAAACAATTGCTCTGGTAGAGATTATTTAATTAGAGAGAAAGAGAAAGAAAGAGAAAGAGAGAAAGGGAACACTAATGTCTTTAGACATAGCAGTGGTAAAATTTAGCTAGTTTAAAGAAAAACAAGGGTGCCTGGGTAGCTCAGTGGGTTAAGCGTCAGACTTTGGCCCAGGTCATGATCCTGCTGCGCTCTGTGCTGACAGTTCGGAGCCTGGAGCTGCTTCAGATTCTGCGTCTCCCTCTCTCTCTGCCCCTCCCCTGCTTGCACTCTGTCTCTCTGTCTCCCCCAAAAATATTTCTTTAAAGAAAAACAAGCTTAAACAAAACCAAAACAAACCAAAAAACCACACACACACGAATTATTCATATACTGGATCTCTCATATAACACACAGACCATATTATGTTAATGAGTTTTAAGTATATATTGATTGGATGGTATCCTGAAGACAAATATACTTGTGTTGCTAGGAAAACTGTGCCATACACATAGTGTAAAGAACATTAAAAAAATGATGTAACCACTAAAACTCAAAAATACAAGTTCCATAAATAACAAAAGGGAAGAGAACAAATACATTTTGAGTACCTAATATGTGTCAAGAAGTTTCCATACACTGCATTATCTCATTTTCCCCAATATTTTGAAATTAAAGTTAGCATAGTATATCAACTAGTATAAGAGCCAGAAAAGACACAGGAAAAATCTATGTGTTATTTCCTCAGAATAGACATATTATCCCAAAGTGGTCATATACCAGTGACATACCTTTGCACCAGCAATGAATGCTGATGTTCTCATGGCTTCAGCTTGGGAATCATAAACATGGGGATAACGTATTTTTTCAACGTCCATGTCTCTCTGCCTACTCAGAATTGGAGCACTTCTAGCATTCATAAGTGCCTGCTCTCTGTAAATATAAAAACAGTAGGATAAATACAAAATTTTTATCTAGCAAAAGGAAGCCAGTACAAAGTCACTATAATAACAATTTCAGGTAGCTTTCCATTATGAAGTGGAAGAAATTAAATTACACAAAGAAAGATATTAGTAATCCTGACATTTTCAATGTAACTACATAGGAGTTAACACATTTTGTAGGTAGTATTTTTAGATGACATCATTTGATAAGTTTAACTTAGTGTTTTTTATTTATAATTTTGTTTGTCACAATCCAAAGATGTTTAACAAGGTATAAGTTCCTTTATAAAAATAGTATTCAAAATTTAAAGAACAAATATCATAATGCTTTTCTTTTTCTTCCTTTCTACTTCTAAATAACACAAGGAAAAGTATTCTTATTAAGCTAGAAAAAAACCCAAAAGTCTCAAAATAAATCTGTGTAGGCTTACAAATTTTAACCTAGTGGTTTGTGCACAGCACCCAAAATAGCTTACTTCTATAATCTAAAATTCTCACCTACATAGATGTAACCAAGAATATTCTAATTAAGAAGATCATTGCATTGGGGTGCCTGGGTGGCGCAGTCGGTTAAGCGTCCGACTTCAGCCAGGTCACGATCTCGCGGTCCGTGAGTTCGAGCCCCGCGTCAGGCTCTGGGCTGATGGCTCGGAGCCTGGAGCCTGTTTCCGATTCTGTGTCTCCCTCTCTCTCTGCCCCTCCCCCGTTCGTGCTCTGTCTCTCTCTGTCCCAAAAATAAATAAAAACGTTGAAAAAAAAATTAAAAAAAAAAAAAAAAAGAAGATCATTGCATTCTTATCCCAGAAAATTAGGTTTTCATACAACAAAAGTCTGTTCTTATAAGAAAACCTTACTAGAAGTACGAGTTATCTAAATTGTTAAGACTAACCAAAAAATAATGCATAAAGGTAGCAATTACAACACAAGCATCTTTCAGCTTCTGGTTTTTATTACCTTTGTATCCGCAATTCCTTAGGATCAAAGCACATAACTCCTTCTGCAATTTCTCCATCTTCTCCAGCCTTTTTTTCTCGTCTGGCAATTCTTTTTTCTTCACGACGATACTGTTTCATTAATTGCTTTTCTTGTTCAGACTGAATGGTAACTTGACAACCATAGTTAGGTTTAGTATTTTCTCCTAAAATTTTTTTGCAATTGTCTACAAAGCAAATTTAAGAAATATCATGTTCTATGAGTTTAAGCTTTAGGAAAACCATTTTTCCCCTTCACCAAAATATAAAATAGCACAATGCTCTAATAATTCAGTTTTTTTAAAACTGTCATATTCAATTGTATGTTTTATGGAGAGTTTTTTTTTTTTTAATGTGATATCTAAGCGATATTAGACAGTGGTTAAGAAAAGTCAGTAGATATTTTCTTCATACACACTACATAGTTTAGTGTCATAAATTCTTACACATAACATCAGGAACTTAAAAATTCAGTTTTATAATTTTGAAATTATTTGTTTACATAATTTCAATAAATATAATTATCAATGCTAATTAGCACTTACTGTTAACATAATAATGAAATAAATATATTCTTTACATATTAGATATAACTTTTCCCTGTGTAACAGCCTTACTGTGTTAAACTGAACATATGTTTTTACTCACTTATACATGAAATACAATTTATTAACATTAGCTCAGGATATATTTAGAAGATGATCAGGCAAATAAAGACTGTGATCCACCTTTCTGTGGAAATACAGTTAAAAACAAAACAAAACAAAACAAAACAAAACAAAACAAAACAAGGGAAGATGGCTAGAGCCACTAACAATCAGGTCAATGAAAGTTCAATGTTTCATCTACAAGGTCCAATTTAAACCTGTGGTTTGGTCAACTCAATATTCAGGAATTTTTTTTCTTCCAACAGGATTAACCTTCTATGCTTAATTAAATCTTTTGAAGTAGTAGTATCCTGGCTCATTGTGGCCCTAAAGGAAATCACAGGAATGTTGCTGAAAGCAATCCAAATCAATACACATTTACTGTATTGGGGACCTACTAGTCCCAGGCACTGCTGCTAGGCTAGGAAGCAACCTGTGCCTGGCAGCAGTGCCTGGAACTAGTAGGTCCCCAATACAGTAAAAGGAAGCCAGTTCCTAGGCTAGGAACTAAACTTGGTCCATACTCTGAAGGAGCACAGCACAAAGTTATTTTATTAAACTCCAAGATCCCACACCAAACAAGGAAGGAATTAAGAAAGCATCAAGATAGCGAAATAGCCTTCTAATTAATTTAAGTCAAATCTTCACAATTCTCAGTCATTTGTCACTATCTCAATACATAATTTTGAATAAATCATTTTAACTCTCAATCACATGAAGTAATACCTCTGTATAATGGCTTTAGAAATCTCAAGAAGGAAACTGAGAAATAAAGACTTATCACATGAAAACTATGAAATGAGATATGATCTCCTTTATATTAGTACAGTTCTGAAAAAAAGTTTTTTTCTAGGTCATATATATTTTACTTTTTGGTAAAGTCTTATACATCTATTATAATGATTGTTTGTAGCCAATTAACTTTCAATGGTAGAGAACAGACAGGTTTGACCAAGGGAGGTGGGTGGAGATGGGCTAGATGAGTGATGTGTACAAAGGAGGGAACTTGTGATAAGCACTGGGTGTTGTATTAAGTAGAATGTGAATAATACCATGTGAATAACACTATGTATTTATTATATAAATGAATGTTAAGGATTCTGTGTGTGAAACTAAATACCCTGGATGACACTCTAAGTGCTATGCTAACGTAATTAACATTTTAAACAAATGTATTAAGAAGAAAACAGGTCTGCTTCATTAATAGCTTTTTTAAGCCTCAAAGAGAATACACTGGAATCCTGTAACACTGAACATAATAGGTAATTTTCAAAGTAAGTCATACAGCAGCAAAAGTTTAAATGTATAGTTTTCCTTGGTAGGTTCAGTTAACTTTAGAGCCTGAAAAGTAGAAATGAAATGAATAAGTTTACCAGTAATTCTATAAAATTTTACTGAAGAAGAATGTGGAAGCTTGTATCCTTTTAGAATGTAATCATGACCAAAAAGATCGTGTGTAACTACTCAAAACACTGTCCTTGATAACATAAGCTAACTTAATTTTGATTTTATGACACACCCTGGAGTAAACATTCTTCACATCAGCACTAAAAATAGAATTTAATTTACAACTATCCTCACCTTAGCAGTCAATCCACTTTACCCACCCACTTCTCACCTACATTTCCTGGTTATAATAAAAACAGAAGAGATAAAATGGGTGATGCACATCTGGATTAAAAACTTTTAAAAAAATCATTATGAAAACTAGAAAATGATAAATAGTAAGAAGCAACTTCTAAGACCATGATTTTGGAGGAATAAAGAAAAGGATGGGATGTGATGGTCATATTAAAGTAGCTTAATAAAGAATGCAAATATAATTTGGTAGTTTTTAAAGAATTTTGAAGGATCCTCAACACAAAATTAGATCAGAAGATACAAATGGATGAGAACACTGATAAAGTAATAAGACTCTGAAGAATCTTTTCTTCAAGAATATTTCCTTTCCATACCACCTCCCTCCCCGCAAATAAAGGAAAATATCTGTTTAAGCCATGTACACGAAAAACTCTACTGAAAAAAAAATCTGAAACATGCTGGTTGTCAGCTTCTTTACAATAGTCCTTAGACATAGTTAAAGCCTACTAATACCCCACTTTTCTATAGTAAAATTACTACTCTTAGATAGTGGCAATAATAATGATCTAGCTTAGAATAAAAGAGTAAAAGCAGTATGAGAAAATTAAACTGCAAGACAACACTAACTCATCACCTATAGTTCCAAAAAAAAAAAAAAACAAACCCACAGGTGAAGCTGGAATCATTTTGAACTTTCTGTTAAGTAAATTAGCACTATTAACAGGTGAGATCAATATGTATCCCTATATCAACACTTAGGAGACTGACAAAATAAACAATAAATTGTCAGAATTTACACTGCAAGACTAGATATTTACATTCATTCCTTTCTTTCTGGCGGACACCCATTTTAAATGCTCTTAAACTCTGGTGGTTTCCAACAATGTGTGATAAATATCTTTAGCAGGTGGGAGAGCCTTCTTAGAGCAAGGCAGTTTGTAAGTGATAAACATAGTTAAAGAACAACGAAACTTGCATAAAGACAAAGTGGCTAAACTCAATTCTTCTAAGTTTCTAAATATCTCAAGATAACTCCAGGAAACTACCAGTAATCAAAGTATAGGATAAGAAAGCCCCAAGAAATTTTGGATTTAAATCAAGGTTCTTTTCATAACTTCATTTTAGTGCCATACTCATATATGTAAGGAAAAGATAACATAACTTACATTAAAAAATGATAAATGCCGATTCATTTGAAGAAGGGAGGGATGTCTAATTTTTTATGCCCAGGCACTTTTTTAAAATTCCAAACTATATATAAGGCTGGCAAAGAACATTTGGGTAAAAGTAAGAAATTCAGGTTTCCTGCTTATGACTTAAAATCTGAGTTCAGCATCAGTTGTATCATAGTAAGCAAAGCATTTTTAAAAATTATTTTGGCTTCCTCAACTACTCTAATTCTTCTGGGGATTTTAAATACATGTGATACATGACAATATAAATGTTCAATTTGCTGAGCATGATAACTGTATTGCAGTTTAGTAGGAGACTGCTATTGTTCTTAAATGTACGATGAAGATTTTACAGGTGAAATATTATGATGTCAGCAACTTCCAGGCCACTCTTCATCAAAAATGTTAAATGTAGGTGTTTGTTTATGTATATGTGAGTGAGTGCATGTGTAAAGAGGATAATAAGAGAAAGAAAGCAAAATGTTAACTGTCGAATCTACACAAAGGTATGCAAGTGTTAACTGTACTATCCTTGTACTATCTAGGTTTGAAAGTTTTCAAAATAAAAAAGTTGGGAAGAAATTATAACACTACTTGGCCCACAGTTAATATCAAATGCAGTTGCTTAAAAAAAAAAAGTATCTATTCAAACCTTCAGCAAAAATAATAAAAAATTAAAAAATTTTAAAAAAATGCTATACCTAAACAGAATAGAATCTCTACCATAACAGCCTATTTAGGGCATTGTGGTATTTGTTTCATAATCTGCCATATCTAAAATCTACTTTAAAAAGTGGTATCGCTAAATTATATAACAGACCAAAGGATATTAATATATAATTATATTAAAAAGATTTGCTAACCAATGAATCTTCCTTTAAATTGGAATTACCACTGAACACTTTCTTACCTTGAAGAGCCTGCAACTTATGATCATTTGAAGAATTAAGAAATCTATCCACAATTGTAATTCTGTTCTGGAGGAGTTTCTCAATAAGTTCAAGTCCATCAGGTCCCAGCAGTTCAAATAGCTTAAAAGAAGAATCAAAACAACTGTTACCTCAAATCACCTTTTTCAAGTTATTAATACCTTATTCAACAGAGGTATGAAGCCAAACTACTAGAGCAAGAAGTACCCCAACAATACCTTGGAAAAAAATAGTTACTTAGGAAAGAAAAGCAACTCTTCATATTGTTACATATCTTTCAGGTTTACGAAGTCAATATGCAATTACTAAAGCACATGATTCAATCTGTAAAAGTAATCATGATTATGATATATATGGTATATAAATAATTATGCCATATATATAACTAAATCACAGAATTTTAAATCCTTACACTTGCCTTTCCTAGGTATAACCAAATGAAATTCCAAAATTAATTTGCTTTTTAATATTGTTCTGGTTTTGGCAAATAGAGTCCAGAGTATGAATTTTCTTCCAACTTACTACACATAACAACTATCACTTTAGAGTTAAAGAACCATTAAAATGTTTTAATGATTCATGACACACCACATTTTTAATGCTTAATAATTAATTGTATTATTTTATTAAATTTATTTTATTAATGTTTAATTAATACTTTTTAAAATTTTATTTAATTTTGAGAGAGAAAGAGACAGAGCACAAGTTGGGGTGAGGCAGAGAGAGAGGGAGGGAGACACAGAATCTGAAGCAGGTTCCAGGCTCTGAGCTGTCAGCACAGAGCCCAACGCAGGGCTCGAACTCATGAACAGTGAGATCATGACCTGCGCCAAAGTTGGACACTCAACCGACTGAGCCACCCAGGCACCCCTTAATTAATAATTTTTAATGCTTAATAAATCTGAAATCTAAAACACAGTTCCACAAAGTACTTTATGTAACTTTTTATAAAAAATTTCCATGTGTATCTTATGCAGAGCAGTTGCCAAAGATTAAGTTTATTCAAGTCAGAGAACCAGTTTTAGGATTAAGAAAGACTTTCTTTTTTAATTTTTTTTTTCAACATTTATTTATTTTTTGGGACAGAGAGAGACAGAGCATGAACGGGGGAGGGGCAGAGAGAAAGGGAGACACAGAATCGGAAACAGGCTCCAGGCTCCGAGCCATCAGCCCAGAGCCTGACGCAGGGCTCGAACTCACGGAACGCGAGATCGTGAACTGGCTGAAGTTGGACGCTTAACCGACTGCGCCACCCAGGCGCCCCAAGAAAGACTTTCAATCACATAATTATACAAAGTAACTGCTCCAGAAAGCCTTTCAATTTCTTCCAGTATGGTTTCAGGATGTTTTTTCCTCCTGTCCAGAAATGTTATATCTAATTTTACATGTGAAGATTTTATATCAGCCAAATTCTAACTATTCTCAGAGATTCATTCCACACAAAATCATAATTAAAGTAGGAACTTATGTTAAGTATATATGAAATGCTAACTATTTAATAAATATTTTCTTTTTGCTGTTCATTTAACTGACATTATCTACATATAAGGCCAAGGCCCTAGTCCTAGAACCTCTACTTTTGGCCTAAACATCATGGAGTATACCAGGGCCCAATCACTCTCACCCTGGCTCATAAGGCACTAATTCCACACCAGGAGAGGCAAGCCAAGAAGGACTTAGCCTACTGCCTACCCCTTCCATCAGCACTCAGCTCTTAGAGCAAGGGTGTCAGTCAGAGATAAACTGTCCCTTGTCCCCACTCCTAGCTCCAGAGTTTGCCTCAAAGATTTTGTCTGGGGGAAGAACTAGGCTATAAAACAGAAAGGTCCCAATCTCTTCCAAAGGTATGGGCCTCATGTGCAACTTGGCAGAAAGTCGAAGCCTTAGGGTCCTCTCAAAAACAGCACAGATTGTGGTTAACTATAAGAGTCACAAATTGAACAACCAGGTTACAAAAGAGAACTAAGGAAGGACAAGGGGGGGAAGAGCCGATTCCTTCAAAGTGGCCACAAGTTTATTAGTTTGTGGAACAATTTATGCCCCACGATATTTCTGTGACCAGAGCAATTATCTGGTAATTAGTAAAGTTTAATAGCTGGCTAGGTCACGGAAAGAAAAGCAGAGGGTCCTGCCAAAACTACTTTCATCTAGGATGACTGTGGATATACCCGAAATTGTGCCTCCTTGAGGAACAATACCAGAAGCTAAAACACTGTGGGGTAAGGGTTAGAGGAATTGTCTGCACTAAAATATCCAGCTAGTCACCAAACCAATAAACAAGCAAATAACAATCATAAACCCTGGCAGTGGTAGATTAGATGAAATAAACAAATTCCTAGAAAGACAAACTAGCAAATAGCAGACAATCTGAATAGATCTATAACAAGTCAAACACTGAATTAAAACAACCCACAAAGAAGTCTAAATGACTTCACTGGTGAGTCCATTCAAAAGAATTAATGCCAATTCTTCACAAATTCTTCCAAAAAACAGAACATCTCCCAGGTCTTACTCTAACTCCAAAACCAGACAAATATATTACAAGAAAACTACAGACCAATATCTCTTAGAAGTTGAGACACAAAACCTCAATAAAATACTAGTAAACCATAGCCAGCAATATAGAAAAGGAATTACACACCATGACAAAGTGATATTTACATCAGGAACATAAGACCAGTTCAACATAAGAAAATCAGTTGATGCATTTACATTATATCAACACAATAAAAAACAAAAGTCACATGATCAGCTCAACAGATGCAAAAAAAAACCTTTTGAAAAATCCAATAGCCTTTCATGATAAAAACACTTAACAAAGTAGGAATATAGGTAGTTTTACCACCTGATGAAGGGCATCTATGAAAAACCCATAGTGAACATCATACTTAATGGTGAAAACACTGGATACTTACCACTAAGAATAGAAACAAGACAACAAAGTTTGCACTTGTGACTTTGAACACTGTGCTGGAGGTTCAAACCAGAGCAATTGGGCAAGGAAAAGAAATATAAGGTATTCAGATTAAAAGGAAAAAGTAAAACTTTCTATTCATAGATTGTCTATGTAGAAAATACTAAAGGTTCCGCTAAAATACTATTCAAAGTAATAAACAAGTTTTCAAAAATCATAATAAAACCATTCAGTGAAGAAAGATGAGACTTTTCAATGAATGATGCTGAGACAACTGGGTAGTCATATGCAACCGAATGAAGTCAGACCCTTATACGATATACAAAAATTAACTCAAAGTGGATCAGTATTCTAAATGCAAGAGCTAAACATAAAATTCTTAGAGGAAAACAGAATAAGATCTTTATGGCCTCAGATTTGGTAAAGGATTCTTAAATATGACACCAAAAGCATGAGCAACAAAAGAAAACACAGATAATTTGGATTTTAGCAAAACAAAATTTGTCCCCTTCAAGGAAAAATGCAGAATGGGAGAAAATATTGGTAAATCATATATCTGGTAAGTAACCTGTACCCAGAGTATATAAAGAACTCTTACTACCAACAAAAATACAACCAATTAAAAACTGAGCAGAAGATCTGAATTTATCCTAGGAAAATACAAAAAGGACCAATAAGCAGATGAAAAGATATTCAAAATCATTATGCATCAGGGAAATGCAAACTAAAACCACAAGAACCATTAAAAAAAAAAAAACTGAAAAAGAACAAGTGTTGGCAAGGATGTGGAGAAAACTGGAAACCCATACATTGTGGGAATACAAAATTGTACAGCCACTACGGAAAACATTTTTCTGATTCCTCACTAAGTTAAATACAGAATTACAACATGACCAATTGATTCCATTCCTAGGTATATACCTCCAAATAACTGAAAACATGTGTCCAAACAAAAACTTTTATACATATATGGCTATTCACATAGCCAAAAGGTAGAAACAACCCAAATGTCCACCGACCAAAGCATGGATATACAAAATGTGGTATATCCATACAACAGATATTACTAAGCCATAAAAAGGAACTAATTAGTGTACAACATGGATAAATGTTAAAAACATTTTGCTAAGTGAAAGAAGCCAGTCACAAAAGACCACATACACATGATTCCATTTACATGAAATGTCCAGAAGAGAGAAATCTCTAGAGACAGAAAGTAGATTAGTGGTTCTTTAGAGACTGAGAAGAAGGTGGGAGGGAGTAGGAGGAGAGAAGCTAAAGGCTTAGGATTTCTTTTTGAGATAAGGAAAATGCTCTAACATGACTGTGGTGATGGCTGAACATATCAATGAGTATATTAAAAACCACTGATTTATATACTTTAAATGGATGAATTGCATGGTATGTGAATTATATCTCAATGAAGTATTTCATTGAATTATAAACCAAAATGGCTTAAACTAAATACTAAAAGTAACCAGAAAAAAATTGCTTATGGTTGAAAGATAAAGACTGCATGCAATTTTCTTATTAAAATATTAAGTGAATGTTCTCAATTGCTGTTAGTTCAATTTAAGCCCCATTCTTAATGAATGTTAAGAGTAATATTTTAAAACCAACAAATTCAAATTAAAAGATACTTCCATACTCCAAACAAACTATAGTAAGAAATGCTCTCTACATACAGCATGATATGTCTTTCATAGTCTATCAACTCTCAAAGAATGTGTTAATTATTTTTTTAATGCTTTACTTATTATTTATTTATTTTTTTAGAGAGAGCACAAACCAGGGAGGGCCAGAGAGAGAGGGAGGCAGAGAATCCCAAGCAGCCTCCACGCTGTCAGCGCAGAGCCCCATGCAGGGCTTGAACTCATGACCTGTGAGACCATGTCCTGACCGACTGAGCCTCCCAGGCACTCCAAGAATGTTAATTCTTAAATTGAGACCATTTCTTCCATAAGAAGATAAATTATCATGGCAGAGTTATCCTTACACATATTCTAAGCTACTTCAAGTTTACTTAATCTGAAATACAATATTCACACATGATAAATTAGAGATTCACAACTTTTTAGTTCACCATAATTTTAGGAAAACATCGGTATATTTGGAAGACAACTTCTAATGTAACATCTCCGGGGGAGGATCACCACAGCACAGAGCCGTTTTCTTTTCTTTTCTTTTC